CGTCCATCTAGTGGACACAGCTCGATATTACAGCAGCAAAAAACAACGGCTTAGAAGGTTCGTCAGCGTTGTCTGTATGTATAAACGTGATTTGTTTCTTAAAAAGGAGATAGGTTTATTTGCAGTGTCTTGAAGCGTGCAAGAGAGTTTCTCTGATGGATCCCTTTCCTCACGAAGCCCATTGTCCTGCATGAAGGGGTGCTCACTTTTTCTTATGTTTTTTCAGATTCCTACCTACATCCTGAGGAGGCAGCTGGTGTTTCCTTCAAGTCCAAGTCTGGACTTTGGCTGGTTCCCTGCTGATAAATTTACCACCAGAGAAAAAGTGGCAATTTTCGAGAATGACTGATCGCTGTCGGAGAGATCTACACCGTATAAATGAGTTAAAGGCACAGTTCTGCAATCTCTCTCCATTTGCTTCAGGAGACGTTACACTTGGGAAGACGCTGGAGAGAATGAATGAATCCTTGTACTTGTGTGCACTAGATCCTGCTGCCTAGGAGATGCAGAGCTAGCATATGTACCTGAACTGTGTTTGAAAATAGGAACCCTGTGAAACAGAAGTAGTCTTGAATTGGCATGATTAAAAATAGGTTTTCATATATATTTTATTGATGAAGAATAATTGAGAGCATCCTAAGTCTGTTGTTATCTTGACTACCATAATCCATGGAATTAATCCCAGGTCAGAGAACAAGAAACACATCACAAAACCTTTTGAAAATACCATATTACTTTGAGACCATCTAAGCAAAATTATTCAAAAGCAAAGTGATTTGTAGTACCAAACCAAAGTGTTGGACTGCCAGAAATGACAATCCTGCTTCATTTCACATTGTCCTCTTATGTCAACATGGAAGAGTAGCTCTGTTGCTGCCTATATGCTTCTGTCATCTAGTCTCCCTAGAGCCTCTCTTCACCTGTGCTGCCTGAGTGAAGCAAGTAACTGGTAGAGCCAAGTCTCTGAATCCCAACCAGCACAGTGGTCATTTGCTTCGGTTGTTTAATAGAAGGTTGGTGAGCACTGTACAACTAGAAGGTGGTTTCCAGTCTTGCTTTGATGAGCTCTGAGCCCTGCTGTGCGTGCTCTTTTTCTCCTTCAAGTACCTGTATCAGACTAATTACCCAGTGAGCTGCATTGCCGCCAAAACTTAGCAGAATGAGTAAGGCAGCATTCCTGACCATTAACTTCTCTTAAAAATTGGTGTCTGCAATTTGACAAGACATTTTCTTTTCGTGATGTGTTTTGAATGCTTGCTACAGTAAAGAAATTCCACTGAAATAGAATGCCTCTACCAAGAAGCTTCAGGGTTACCAACTCAGCAATTCTGTATGAAAAACACATGTTCTCAACAAGTTTAATTCCGACAGCCTTTTAAGGCTGCTCTAAACAGAGAAAGTCAAGGAAATCCTACTCAAGCTGTCATTTGGGCAATTCAGAACCATACACGTTGCTCATGGAGAAAGTCTGGAGAGGGGCCACAAAAATGATCTGGAGGCCAGAACACTTCTCCTATGAGGACAGGCTGACGGAGTTGGGACTTCAGCCTGGAGAAGGGAAGGCTCTGGGGAGACCGTATAGTGGTGGCCTTCCAGTACCTGAAGGGCATACAGGAAAGGTGGGGAGGGACTTTGTACAACGGTTCGTAGTGAGACAACAGGGGTAATGAATTAAAACTGGAAGAGTGGAGATTTAGGTTAGACATTAGGAGGAAATTTTTTAGTGTGAGAGTGGTGAGACACTGAACAGGTTACCCAGGGAAGCTGAGGAAGCCCTATCCCTGAAAGCGTTAAGTCCAGGTTGGATGGGGCTCTGAACAACCTGATCTACTGGGAGATGTCCCTGCTTATGCCGTGGGGCTGGAACTAGATGACCTTTAAGGTTCCTTCCTCTTCAAACTATTCTGTGATTCTATGGTTCTATGATAATAAATAGTGAGACAACTGGTAAGTAATGTGTTGGTGTGTGTCGGTGCTTAACTATATGCAATGGCTTAACTTTCTGATATGACTAAGTTAAAATTAATTACATTAATTATGTGCATTCAGATTTCTTGCTTTTTTTTTTTTTTTTTTTTTTTTTTGGAGGGGGAGGGAAAGCCATGAATAAATGTAACAACTTTATTCTCTTTTGCACATCAAAAATGTTAGTTATGGCTATGAATACTAGCACTCAGAGAACACCAAGCCTATTCCTTGCATATAGCAATATAAAAAAATCTATTGTAATATCTGAGACCTTCCAACTGTGTACTCTAATGTTTACATGATCTTAAGAGAGGTGTAGTGTAGGTGTGAAGGGGAAGAGTTGGTTCATTTACGAGAATAGATACATGTGTCGTGTATATTTTAGAGAAAGCAATTTCTTGTATCTGATGGAAGCAATTACTGTTACTCTTTCAAGGACTCTGGGGGCAGCTGTTCTCTTTTTATCTGCAGAAAGTTCTGTCTTCTGTAAAGAATCTCTAGAGCTCTGGGAGCTCTACCCTCACTTTGGAGAGGCAGAAAAATCATGCCAAACAGGCTTTGTTTCCAATTAGTTTTCAGTATGGAGCAATAGGAAGTCTCTCTAATATCCTGGAGCGATCTCCAGGAGCTGACTGAGACAGCAAGTGAAGCATAGATCAGAACTACTCCCTGTTTACTATACAGATGCTATTCAAAGCAAGGGGAGTATCTCTGCCAAGGTTAAATATTCTGAGAAAAGAACAATTACCTTTATAAATGTTGCAACATGCCTAAAGGATATTTTTTTTCTTACATAGCATTAATTCTCAAACTAATCAAACTCCCAGTTGTATAATGTGACATTAAGTGATTTAAAGTGTCAGAAGACAAACAGTAAAGTTAACACTACCATTTAATCTTTGCCATTTTTCTCCACTATACCCAAACTTTACAAAATGCAATAATCATAGAATCATAGAATGGTTAAGGTTGGAAGGGACCTTAAAGACCATCAGATTGCAACCTCCCTGCTGAGAGCAGGGACACCTTACACTAGACAAGGTTGCACAAAGCCTCATCCAACCTGACCTAATGCATGTAAGAGATCTAGCAGTCTGTCTGTCCATCCTGAGGCACAATGAAGAGAATCAAGAATAGAGCAGCTGCCCAATTTCTGAAGCATCTTTTTTTATAGGCTCTTACCTAATTATTTTTTTTCTTCTGACTCTGTATTTACCAAGTCAAGTGTCTATCTCGTTTCATTAATGCATTACCTGAGTTCACAGCAAACTAATGAAATAAAGCAATAAATTGTATTAGATGGTGTATGTGGAACGTAGCTCAATCCCAGATGCTGTCCTGAGGGAGCTCCATCACTCTCAAGCAGATTTCAGTGAGAATAAAACTCTGTGGCAAAAGAGAGCAACTAACTTTTTCAAAATGGTGATATCTAAATTGCATGGACCAAATGCCATTCATTGGGTAAGCAAAATTTTTCAAACGAGTCATGTATAAAACCACTGTTGGGATGTGTGAGTACAAAGTACCATCCTCACTCCTGTCTATCTCATCCTTGTTCCTGGCAGGACTCTTAAGTGGGGCAAGGGAGTGGAACATCTCCCTTATGAGGAAAGGCTGAGGGAGCTGGGTCTCTTTAGCTTGGAGAAAAGGAGACTGAGGGGTGACCTCATCAATGTTTACAAATATGTAAGGGGTGAGTGTCAGGGAGATGGAGGTAGGCTTTTCTCAGTGATGACCAGTGATAGGACAAGGGGTAGTGGGTGTAAATTGGAGCATAAGAGGTTCAAGGTGAATATCCGAAAAAAAATTTTTTACTGTAAGAGTGACAGAGCCCTGGAACAGGCTGCCCAGGGAGGTTGTGGAGTCTCCTTCACTGGAGACATTCAAAACCCACCTGGATGAGTTCCTGTGTGATGTACCCTAGGTGACCCTGCTCTGGCAGGGGGGGTTGGACTAGATGATCTTTCGAGGTCCCTTCCAGCCCCTAAGATTCTATGATTCTATAAGGCTACCATGCTTTCAGACCCTGCAGCTGATGATCTTCAAACATTAGTCTGACCTCAGTTCAGCTAATTTAAAAGATTTATTTTCACACTTTGGTCTGAAGGAAGAAGATGCAAGCTTTTAAAAAGCATGTTTTGTGCCTTCCTATAGGTGAAGTACTGGTCTCATTTGTCCATCATAATTTGCAGCTCTGAGTGTTACTGAGAGCAGTAGGACTGCCTCTCTGCTGTACTGCTTCCCATTGTGTCACTGTGACATGTCCTTGAGCAGGCCTGTTGGCTTGTTACATTACAATTTATAATTAGGCTGACTATATTTATAACTCATTCAAGAGATACTGGTAGGCTTTCAGATGCTTCTGTCCACCAGAAAAATTTTCATCACAGCTGAAACGTCTCAGGCTTCTCCTGGCTCTCAACTGGCTCAGCACTGGGCTGACACAAGCCTCCTCAGTGCTGTCAGGAATGAAGTGTTTCTTGGCACATGCAGAAGCTGAAAGCTGGGCACCTGGAGAACTTTAAAATTGAAATAGGTATCTACTTAGGTTTAAGAGCCCACAGAGTTGGGCAGCAGCTGAGCAGAGGTTTTTTGTATCACTGTAATTGCAGCTGAATTCTTCTTAGCTGCCTGCTTAGATACCAAAGTACCTTTCTGGGATCTGGCCCTAAGGATTTTTTTTTAACTTTCTTATGCATTAAATAATAAAGAGCAGGCAATTAAGAAGTCTTACTTAACTGAGTTAACTTATTGGAGAGAGCTGCAAATCAGCCTCAATTCCTCCTCCAGAGAATCGTTAGATCATGTGTTACAAGGGTGAAGGGAGTCTCTGCAGCATTTCATAGTAGAAATGGTGTAGGGCTGCTCTATGGAGCACTCTGTTCAGTTGTTTACAAACCATGTGTGCTACATTGAGCATCCCAGTTGGATGCTTAGTTTGAAAAGCAATATGTCAGTTGCCATTTAATTAGAACTCTGCAGCCCACCTTCTTAGATGCTGCTGCTTATTAAAGTGTTCCCTGATTGGGAATATGCAGATGCTGTTGGTAGAAGAAACAGTTGCCTTTAGTCAGAGGCACTTCACCACCTCTAACATGGCAGTAGACTTGGACCCAGGGGCTAGCTGTAAGGACAGAGGAGGCAAACAGACTTCTATTCTCCTTCCAAGGAAAATGCTGTCAGCAAGGGGTGTTGCTGTGCTTCCTGGCCCAGAACAGGACAAGTTTCTCCATCACTGCCTGTGTATCCTTCCCATGTTACTTCTTGAGATTTCTCTACAAGAATTTCAAGAACAGGTGAGCAAATTCTCTTTGCTGCTTGCTTGTTTGGGCTGGGATATGAGGGCAATAGCAACAAAAAATGTTAGTGTTTAATACCTCTGAGAGAGGCCTGGAAAGAATAAGCTGCTGATAGTAAAAGAGCATGGCTCACTCTCCAGTGCTGCAGCCTTCTCTTGTTTGGAAGGCAATTAGTACATCTTCACAAAACTAAAGGCTTCAAGACTGTGTTTCCCCAAAAAGATTCCACAGTGTTCTCTACACTGAAATTGTAAAGATACCTTTGAAATAAACTGTAGTGTGCCATTCAAGTGCCCTGGCTTAGTATCAGTGTTGTTAACTAATTCTTGTCTCTCTAATTTATTGCTGCAAGTTTTAAAAAAATCCCCAAACCTGAAACCGTCACCAAAACTATTGGTGCTCATGGGAACTATGGTGCTGATACACTTGGAGAATTAAGTTGTTTATTCGTGCTGAGTTATAGTAGCTATGCCAGGCTCTTAACCCATATGGTTTGTTTCCTTTAAGACAGAAGAACAACATTTTTACTAGACACTACAGTTAGTGCATGTGTATGAATAGGGGTAAGGACTGTAACTGGTGAAAAAATTCCATTTTGGGAGAAAGAAATGGAGCTTAATCTTCAGCTCTCTTATCCCTGATTTTGGGAATATTATTTCTATTCACTAGTTTGCTTTATCTTTGGTGCAAGCAAAATACATTATACTGTATTTGCCCCTACCCTCTGGCTTTCCAGGAAGTGAAGTCTCATCACTATGAGTGATCTACTTCCTCTTTAAGTTGCTTTTTCCAGTTTCAGCATACTGGATTTGCTCACTTGAAGACCTCTTCTTTTTTTGTTGAGGCATCACATTCTATATCAAAGAAATGCCCATCACATGGGGAATAATCATGTCAATGAATCTTGCTCCCTACAGGGGACCAAAAATGCTGCATGACTTAAGCCCATGCCTGCATGGCAAAACTTCTAGCTAGGATCTTGAGTGCATTGAGCCCACAGCCTCTGTATCTAAAACTCTAAAAGAAATAGTTGTGATAGCTCACATAGTCATTGTGGAAATTAGTGCATTTATATATGAACATTTTACGTGTTTTACTATACAAAATATCAATTCACTAAGAATTAGATACTTGCTTTCTGACTCATATGGAGTATTTATGGTTTTGTGATGCAAAAGGAATGATTCCATAGACAACTGATAAGAACTGGTTAGGTGTTATTGATAGCTGCATTTTATTTACCAAGAGACTGGTAATAATCTAAAACTATTTTTCAGCCATTTCCATATGCATGCATTATTTTGGTGAGCAAAGAAAAGCTAATGAAAAGCCTATGATAATGAGATCATGAGGAATATGAAAAGAAACTGGGAAATGCTGACAGTCTTGATTATTATAGTAATCTAACATAGGAACAAATTAAATTGTTACTGTAATGTACACTCTTGGCAAAGGAGTGAAAAAAGACCCCAAGCACTTGTTATTAAGGCCATTTAGGTAACCGTGTTGCAGGAGCAAAACAACTTTTCATTTGCGTTTAACATGTATTTAGAGTTGGGAAATGGTGTGTGGTATTAAATGCATGGCTGTGTTTCTTGTAGTAAATGCTTTCTGTCATTTAAGACAAAGAAAGGATTTGCATTGCCCCATTTCTGCAAACAAGAGTGTTCATGACATGCTCCTATAGTCACTAATCATGCCCAGTAAAACATAAGGATGGTTACTAGTTGAATTATTATAGAAACCACTTATTTCAAGCAAAGGAAAAGAAGGTGCAAGTAATATGAGTGCATCTCAGCTGAGCTGGATGTAATATGCAATGACTTTGTTTCATGAGGAATTATCTGATGTAGCCTACCTGGGAAAGATGGATTTACTACATCTGGTAACAAAACTCTGTGGTTACAACAGAGGTCTGAAGGGAAGGCAAGAGTGTAAAATCATTCCTGTTCTCCTGCAGATTGCAACATCTTGACTTGAGAGGGGTGGAAATGTTATGATCATCATTTTACTGATTTAGCCCTAGCTTGTACTGGTATCTCTGTCCTACACAAGTGTCTGTGCTGACATGAAGGGAAGCAAAGGTAAGCAAAGAGATAGGATATATATATATTTAATAGCAATAATAGCTTACATTTCATCAAAAGCTGTAACCCTACCTTGGGGTTTGTTGGCTGGTTCAAAACCTTTGCAGTTAGCTGATGTAAACATGCTTTGCTACTAACTGACTTTGCTGGTTCAGATTTGTTCTAAATGTGCTGCCGAGCTAATGTTTTGCTATGGGCTTCAAGCCAGGCCAGGCACTGTCGGCTTTCCCCCAGCTGCATAAAACTGGCAGACACTCTACATTGTATTTGGACTAATCCATCAAAAAAGTGTCTGTATGGATGCCATTCAGCAGTTACAGGTGGTGTTTCAAAGGCTGGAGGACCACTGTAATATTCTGTGAGTGGCTATGCTGATGACAACAGAACTCATTGCCAAGCAAAGTGTCAGTCAGCATCGATGTACTGGTCACTGGTCTCCAGTCTGCAGAACAATAAACTCATATTCTTCCAGGATTTTTAGTCGCTGGGAACTGCAGGGCTTCGGCCTCAATTGCTTCATATTCACCACTTTTGCTGCAGCCTGAGTTTGGCAGGGGGAGCGGGAAGTGAGTCTATGCTCAAGCTTGTGTTGGGCCAGCTACTGTACCAGCTGAAAGTTTGAGGGAACACTGCAATGGGCTTTTTTCCTGTGAGGAGGAGGATGGAAGAAAAAGGTGACATTCAGCATCTGAAGGTTTCAATCAGTCTTCTGCTGCTTCTTCAGTTACTCCCCAGCTGCTTTGCAGTTCCCTCACAGATGCAACAGGGCCCCAAAATTTAACTGCAGAGATGGAAACATGTCTAATAATATATTATGAAAAAGACATGGTGAAAAATTCCAATATAGATGGAGGATTTTAGAGCCAGATTGTGCCCTGGGATTCCAATGCATATCTTCCATTAAAGACATTAAAAAATGTTTCCATTTCAAGGAAGAATTTGGACTTTTGACACAATTCTCTCTTTTTCTTTGGGAGCCAAATATTTCTGTGGTAACAGAAAATATTATAACAAGAATAAATATAATGCATTTAGGCATTAAAATGAATAACAGTCCTTGATCTATTTTCTGTAGATTACAGGCGTGAGATGTGAAAGCTGTTAGTGGCTTGAAGGAAGATATTTGCTGTAATTGACACTGCTGCTTTGCTTATAGTACAAAATATGAAGGAGATGACTAGAGAGTTGTCCAGATCCTCAAATTGTATGGAGAGGTTGCTGTGGAACTCATGATCATAACTTTGGTCAGTAATGCGCTGTATTTTACTGCTTTTTGAATCAAGCAATTTCTAAAATCCCAGGGTAATGTACTTGCCACACACGAGGTGCTGCCTCCTACTCCAGAGGGGTCAAAACCTTGGTGGTGAGTGTGTAATTGCTATATTTATCATGGAAATGTTAGGCCTGTTTCCTGTACTCTCAAGGTGCTATATGAATGAAAATGGCATGGAATGAATGAGACACTTTTTCTTTTCTTTTCTTTTCTTTTCTTTTCTTTTCTTTTCTTTTCTTTTCTTTTCTTTTCTTTTCTTTTCTTTTCTTTTCTTTTCTTTTTCTTTTTCTTTTTCTTTTTCTTTTTCTTTTTCTTTTTCTTTTTCTTTTTCTTTTTCTTTTTCTTTTTCTTTTTCTTTTCTTTTCCTTTTTTCTTTTCCCCCAAACACCCAATCCTTCAATTTTCATATTGTTTCAAATTGGAGCAATTGCAGCAAAAAGGAGAAAAATAGAGAGAAACTTTGTCCTTAGGAAAGGAAATAATTCTCATCCTTCTCTCTCTCCCCAGATGTTCAGGACAGTCTAAGTATATTTCCATTCCATTCAGGAATTAGAGTGCCTGCCTGCCTCTGTCTTGTGCATCTTCCCTGGGGCACACAGAGGGCCTGAGCTCAGCACAGGAGTTTTGGAGCTCTTTGGTGCCTCCTGCACTTCTAGAACTTACACTGTATCTTCTGGAAAGTGTAGATCATGGTGGTGATAGTGCTGCTGCTTTACAGGAAAATGCCTAGCAGCCCCTGAGTCCCTAGGTCAACCTAAACTCCCTAGCTGGACTATGCAGCATCATGTCAGTTGGTGTGAAACCTTTAGAAGCCTGTGTGGCAAATTCCACCAGAAACCTAATTTGCTTTAGAGAGTTTTTGTCAACATTCTGTCTTCTCCTCTAAAATGCTGTTTCATCAGAATTGATTTTTTAATTTTTTTTAATCCATCTCATCAGAGAATTCCTAGCCAGTTGTGAACAAATGTTATTTTTACCCTTCCTATTCCTTTGTATATAAGGCATAGAAAATGCCTGATGATTATTTGCTTGGGATGCAGGTATCTTAACCTTGGTAACCTGGTATTGTCAGGTTTGATCTTCTCTTTTAGGAAAAAATAACGTTAAGATTTTGGCTGTTGAGCTGACTGTAACAACAAAGCCAAGGGGTTTTGTCTGTAAATAGAAGCCACAGCTAGCTAGGGTGTGGCTTCCAATTATTTAAATACTTACAGAGTGCCTGCAAAGTGAAACAAGGGACAGGGCTGGGGGTGTGGGGTGGTTAAAGGAGAGCACTTGTTTGTTTTAATCTCTCTGGAGCTGCTAGCTCTACCGAGTGTTGTCTTCTCAAATAAACATTTGGAAATAATTGCAGAGTGGTGGGAAGGGAGGAGGACCCTTACTTCTTGCAGTTATTGTTCAAAAAGTTTAAAAGGCTTGCAACTGCTTTCCAGCACTTATTCAGACCTCTACATAAATTTTCTGATCTGTGGATGTAGCGAGCACTCTCAACTCCAGTGGGAAAAGCTCATCTCAACTCAGACAAACACATTCTTGAAGAGCCTGTGCAGAGTTCCACCACATCGTTATGCTCTTCCTCTGTCCTCCAGAACTACAGAGTACCAGACAAGTCACGTTCCCTTGATGTTACAACCCGC